AAACTTCGATCCTATACTCTCAACGCTGTGAGCTATCATTTCCTGCAGGAGCAGAAGGAAGATGTTCACCATAGCATTATTACGGATCTTCAAAACGGAGATGAGCAGACACGTCGCCGTTTGGCTATGTACTGCCTGAAGGATGCTTACCTACCGCTAAGATTGCTGGAGAAACTAATGGCCATTGTTAACTACATGGAAATGGCAAGAGTGACGGGTGTGCCGTTAGAATCCCTGCTCACCCGTGGTCAGCAGATCAAGGTTTTGAGTCAACTGTTGCGCAAGGCTAAAACCAAGGGATTCATCATGCCATCCTACACCCCTCAGGGATCGGATGATCAGTACGAAGGAGCCACTGTGATTGAACCAAAAAGAGGCTACTATGCAGATCCAATCTCTACGCTGGATTTTGCCTCGCTGTATCCGAGTATAATGATGGCGCATAATTTGTGCTACACTACCTTAGTCTTGGGTGGAACTCGGGAGAAGCTAAGAGAGAAGGAAAACCTCCAGGATGACCAAGTAGAGCGCACTCCTGCCAATAATTACTTTGTGAAATCCGAGGTGCGTCGTGGACTGCTCCCTGAGATCCTGGAATCGCTTTTGGCAGCCAGAAAGCGCGCCAAAAATGACCTGAAAGTGGAAACAGATCCTTTTAAAAGAAAGGTTCTGGATGGCAGACAGCTGGCGCTAAAGATTTCAGCTAATTCCGTGTACGGATTCACCGGCGCTCAGGTGGGCAAGCTGCCCTGTCTGGAGATCTCAGGCAGTGTTACCGCTTACGGACGCACCATGATCGAATTGACCAAAAACGAGGTGGAATCCCACTACACTCAGAGCAATGGCTACGAAAACAATGCGGTGGTTATCTACGGAGACACGGATTCCGTTATGGTAAATTTTGGTGTAAAAACACTAGAGCGGAGCATGGAGCTTGGTCGTGAGGCGGCGGAGCTTGTCAGCTCTAAGTTCGTGCATCCTATTAAGCTAGAGTTCGAGAAGGTTTACTACCCGTATCTCCTGATCAACAAAAAACGCTATGCGGGGTTATACTTCACCCGGCCGGAGACGTACGATAAAATGGACTGCAAGGGTATCGAAACAGTTAGGAGAGATAACTCCCCACTGGTGGCCAACCTGATGAATTCCTGCCTGCAGAAGTTACTCATCGAAAGGGATCCCGATGGAGCTGTGGCATATGTCAAGCAGGTGATAGCCGACCTTCTCTGCAACCGGATAGACATCTCGCATCTGGTCATTACCAAAGAACTGGCCAAGACGGACTACGCCGCCAAGCAGGCGCACGTGGAGTTGGCCGCCAAAATGAAGAAAAGGGATCCTGGTACGGCTCCCAAGCTGGGTGATCGAGTTCCCTATGTGATCTGTGCGGCAGCTAAAAATACACCAGCTTACCAGAAAGCAGAAGATCCACTATATGTGCTGGAGAACAGTGTGCCTATCGATGCCACCTACTATCTGGAACAGCAACTTTCCAAGCCGCTGCTGAGGATCTTCGAACCGATTTTGGGGGACAATGCCGAATCCATTTTGTTAAAAGGAGAGCACACACGCACTCGAACTGTCGTAACTTCCAAAGTGGGAGGACTAGCTGGTTTTATGACCAAGAAAACAGCATGCTTGGGCTGCAAATCCCTGATGCCCAAGGGATACGAGCAGGCTTGCCTGTGTCCACATTGCGAGCCGCGGATGAGTGAACTGTACCAGAAGGAGGTGGGCGCCAAGAGGGAACTGGAGGAGACTTTCTCTCGCCTCTGGACCGAGTGCCAGCGATGCCAGGAATCCTTGCACGAGGAGGTAATCTGCTCGAACCGAGATTGCCCCATCTTCTACATGCGACAGAAGGTCCGCATGGATCTGGACAATCAGGAAAAGCGGGTGCTGCGATTCGGCCTGGCCGAGTGGTAACCAATGCATGAATTTACTGAATTGTTTAATCCTATAATTTAATAATTATATTACTAGAAGTTATTACAAAGTTTCTTTCGGTTCGTGGATTTTTTGCGCAATCTGCAATTTGAAAAGAGCTGTAGACGATTCCTAGCTGGCGATGCTTTGGACATACATTTTTACACAGGGGTTATGGGGTCTGAGGACTGGCTAAGGATCTATTTGCGACTCTGCAGGGTGTTGGACAGCCAGTCCATGGCCTGGTCAAGTCCCTCGCCCTTGGTGGCCGACGTTTTGAAAATCTGAAATGTGCGGTTTTTAAGGTTCTCCAGCCCTAACGCATGGTGCACCTCGGCGACGGTCATGCATCCATCCATGTCCTGTTTGTTCGCCAGGACGACCAGTATCGCACCGGCCAACTCCTCCTCACGCAGCATGTACAGCAGCTCGTCCTTGGAAATGCCGATGCGGTCTCGATCCGCCGAGTCCACTACGTAGATGATGGCGTCTGTGTTGCTGTAGTAGCAACGCCAGTAGGGCCTGGAATGGAAATGGGATTGCTTAATAATTTGCAAAGTAGACGAATTAAAGATCAATATATTTTTATTCCTGACGCCTTGGTTCATTAGGGGGCAACCACCACTCTCAATTTTAAATGTATGCTAAGTTGTTTGTTCTATATTTTTAAGCTTTAACAATTTAAAAGTACTTTCTTAAAATGTTAAACCCTTTCGATTTCTGCATTTACCCTTAGAGTAAATGTAGTACACGTATGTGTACTTTTAAATAATATATTGTTTATGGTTTACATTTTATTGGCTTTTGATCATTTTTTATGAACTCCTTAAATTATCCTTGTAATACTAAAAATATTCGTTCACTGACGCCTTTGGTAAAATGTTTTTCGGCTTTGGTTTGTGCATACAATGGATTTTAATCAGTAATGTACACTGGCAACTTAATTTATAAACATTCTTCTTGTGAAGTGATGATATGGGCTGTAGATTTCGAAGAACTCAGCCGGAAGTAAAAGTGAGAACAATTTTTAAATTATTATTATCAAATTTTAAACATGTTCTCCAAAACAAATAAAAAATTTTTTTTTTTTTGGTTAGTCTTTTTTGTTTTTAACTTATTTGAATTAAATAAATTGATGGTGTGCAACTTAAGCATATTTCAATATATGAATAAAATAAAGTAACAAAATGTACTGGTTGAGGAAAATCAGTTTGACCGATTTTACTGAAAAACTTATAAAGTGAAGAGCGATTTAATTCTTAAGTAGTTTTAAAAAAGTTAATGCAAACAGAATTTCTTATCTCTCCGCCCTCTGTACTCTCTCACCTATTGAAATTTGTTTATTTTAAGCGAGAAAGGCTTAGTAAGGAAATTAGTTTGATTTTAACCTGTTAACAAAATGTAAATAATAATATTTAGTAAATAATTACAAATGATTTGCACATTTCGTTACAAAATTCAATGACAATGAAGACAAGAAATTCTCCTTAGGGCTTTATTTCGGAACAATATCACCTGGACTCCGTATCTCCAACTCACCTAATACTTGTTTGTCCGCCCAAATCCCACACCTGGAACTTGAGGTTCTTGTAGGTGACCTGTTCCACGTTGAATCCTATGGTGGGTATCGTGGTGACCACTTCGCCCACCTGCAGTCTGTAGAGGATCGTGGTCTTTCCCGCGCCGTCCAGGCCGAGGATCAAAATGCGCATCTCCCGGGAGCCGAGCAATCCGCGAAAGTAGCTAAGCACCCCACCTGGAATATAAGAACGTACGATTTTTATGAGCAGACTTCGTCACCGGGTGTTGTCAACATGGGAAATTCCGTTCCTGCAATTTACGTACCCATGATTATGGCTGAACTTTGTCTAGTGCTGGCGCTGCCTCTAAATGCTTAAGTGTAAACCTAATTAATTGTATTTGGTGCTACAATTAATACAAAATCGAAATAATCTTGTTTTCACTTTTTTTTTGGGCAGAGAATGGTTTCGTTTTTGCCATTCACAGGCCACGCAAACATGACGTGTCACAGCGTGCGTTCAGCAGAGAAATATTTTTAAATAAATAAAATTATTAATAACTTTAAAAACATGCTTCATAAATTATTTTTATCAAAATTAATTAATACATTTCATATTTGATAATGGTAAAATTTAAAAATACTTAAAGTGATATACGCTGAACGCGCCCGCCTTTGTTGCCGGTTGACAGAGTTGCCACCCTTACGTGACTTTTGTTATAGAGACGGCCGCCATTAGAGTTTTGCTGTCGCGTCGCGTTGAGAAAAGTGTGGAAAAACCTCCCAAACAGTGCTAATAGGTAATACTTTCGTTCTTAAATAGAAAAATACGATCGGGGTCTCTGTGCGCGATAAGCGAGACGTTAAATTTGCTTGATTTGGCGGGTCGTTTTCTGTTTATTTATGTGTTTGAGTGCGCAAAAAAGCGTGCCAAAAAACGGGTACAACAAAAAGCAGGGCTTCGATTACATATCGTGGCTATAGGTTCTATAGATTCTTAATAAATTCGGTGCATTGACGTGTGTTCCCTTCTTCAGATACCCCTGCACCAGTTGGTCCTGGAAAATTCACAGGAATCGTTCGGATAAAGCGCAGAAAAAGGAGCTGAAATATGGCCTCGCCCTCTCCGGCGAACAGTCCCATGCCACCGCCACAGGCTCCCAGTCCGATGGCTCCGCCCTCGCAGAGCCCCGCCCCCTCGCCGCACAGCCCCTATCCTCACCAGCAGCAAGGACCTCCGCTGCAAGGACCCCCGCCACCGGGTCATCCCGGCGCCTACGGCCATCCTTTGCAGCACGGGCCACCGGGTCAGGGTCCGCCGGGACACCACATGCCACCGCACCATCAGGGGATGAGTATGTTCATCATCTAACCCACCACACATCCCCCAGTCGCACGTAATTATCCGCAGTTTTCTCAAAAGGTCCGCACATGGGAATGCAGATGCCGCCGACGGGTCCGAATATGTCGCCGATTGGTTACCAAACCCACGGAATGCCACCCAATGTAAGTGCCACAATAATTATTTCTACAGCTAAATGTAGTATTTGCTGTCTAATTTCAATCTATGAACAGGTGTAAGACCACACCACTGGTTAGAACACTCTAAAATCCTCCCAGTCTGGTATATCCACAGTCCAGAGATTTTCCCATACTGCTTTGATCATCCATTGAAAATAACTTTTAAGAATCCAAAGATCCTTGGATAGCTCCTAGGTTTTATTTTAAAAGATTAATTTACCTACAGATTATTTTTGAAGATTATTGCTTACCTAAAAAGCTTTTTGAACACAAAAAAACTACGTTCAAAATTTCAGTTTTATCTTAAAAAATGTTCGATAACTTTGAAGACCCGGTTGTATACGTATCTTTTATACAATGTTTAGAAAGATAGCTTCTATCTTTTGATATCTGTTAAGAATGTTTTCATTATTGTTTCCTTCAATCTAAACTGATCTTTAAAATTGGTAAGAGAACAAATTTATAAAAACTTGTTTAAAAAAAATCAATGAATCCTTTTTCTAAACTTCCTCAAAGGAGTTTAATTTGTTGAGAAAAAGTTAGAAAATCTTTGAGATTCTTTGAATAGAATTACCAAACACCTTTTTGTACTTCTTTATAGGGATTTATTTGGCAGATTTAGGTTTAAAATTATGGTAACAAAATGATTCATTAGTAAAGTAAAGTCTGAACAGAGAGTTGTTTGCTTTCCCGCCATTTTTGTGAACTGTGTTTATCAGGGTTTCGGCGATCAAAGCTGAATGATATCTTAAAGCTCCACGAGCAGAGCTTCCAAAGTCAAGTGCAGCTAACCTCGAGCTTTTTAATTTGCCAACAATTTTTGTGTGTGTCTTTCCTAAATTACTTCTGTACTGGCTTGCCCCCCACCGACTCCTCCTGATCGGCCTTGCGCAAAAGGTCTTCAATCTCTTTGCGCAACTTCTCCGTTCCGGCGCAAATAAGATCCGGCTTCATTATGTCGAAGGGGCCACCAAATGGATGCGTTACCACGCCTCCCGCCTCCTTTACCAGTAGGGAACCGGCGGCACAGTCCCAGGGATACATGTCCTCGATGTAAAAGGCATCCAGATTGCCAGCCGCCACCATGCACAGCTCATCCACCACACAAGAATAGGCCACAAGTCTGGGGACAAATAGTATTTCTTGAAAAGGATTCTGCTCTAAACTTGTTAACAATTTAATATAATCAGACAATTATTTACTGAACACACATCCATCATTTCAATTACAAATCTCAAAAATTCTTCGAATTTTTTTACTAAAAAATATTGGCTTAATTTTGAGATATTTTGTTTTCGATTTTAACATTCGGAATAAATACATTAAATTTATAATAATGAGGCAAAGTAAATAGATTGTTGCAAAATACGTTTTAAAGTATTAAAAAATATATAAAATTTCTACAAAAAATACAACAACAAATGTTTTATAATGTTGAACACAGCTGTAAATTGAAAATACACTTTGCGAGACTCTTTCAATTTAATTGGAACAAACACTGATTAAAGCTTTATAGTGAGCTTTGACTGGTTAATTGTTTTGTACTCAGATATTTTTTTCATTTTGCCAACACAAATATTCAACTTATTAGGGTTCAAAAATTTGGGATTTGAAAGTATGCGATTTTCTAATCACTCACCGTCTGGCATTTAATCCCACATGGTAGATCCTTTTGATGTGCTTGTTGGCTACTGAGTGAACATGCAGCAGGGACACTTCGTAGGCCACATTGGCATCCTTGATGCTCTCGCAGCTGCTCACACAGATGGGCTTCCCATTACAAAAGGCACCTTGACCCAATTTCGTTGTGAAGAGCTTTTTCTGAACAGGATTATTGATCACACCCAGCACTATCCGTTTGTTAATGGCCAAACCAATCGAAACACAAACGTGCGGGATCTGCTTAATGAAATTCGATGTGCCGTCGATGGGATCAATGATCCAGGTGGGCGCATCCGTCAGTTCCCCGGACACGTTGTTGTTCTTGGCCGTCGCCTCCTCGCCGATAAACTTGTGCCCCGGATAGCTGGCCAGTATCTTCTCCATGAGAAAGTCTTCGATCTTGTTGTCGTAGTCGGTGACCACATCGTAAAAATCGCCCTTGATGGAGACGTTTTTACTGGCCATTTCATAGCCCTCCATGAGGATCTCGCCTGCCTCGATGGCCAGGGGATAGATAAAGTTATACAACTCCTCGATATCCTCTTGCTTTACTTCTGCCATGTTGCTTCTATGCGTATGTCTAGACCACAAAACGATGCGTTGCTGTTCAGTTCACGATGCCAACTAATCAGAGAGATTGTGCCCGGCTGGAAGTAGCTCCACGCTCTGGCTACTTTGTCTGGCTGGCGTTGGAGCTTTACATTCGTTCTCTGATTGTTTGCCTGCATTGAGGTTTATGATCGCTGCTCCAGCACCCCATGGCGAGTACTAACAATTGGCAACTCACCTGGCTGCTTGCCTCTGTTTTATCTCAATTCGTTTGATGTACACAAATAGACAGACGCTTTTTATCTCCACAGACAAGCCAGTGTAGTCAAATAGTTGTAAAACCCGTTTTTATCAGCATATTTCCCTTCTTTTGGGCTGCAAGTCGTTATTGTTAGATGAACCTTGGGGGCTTTGCATTGTGCTAAAATTTCTCAATTTTTTTTGTGTAAAGACTAATCATTTATGTCTGATAAAATTTCAAAATTGGCGTATAATGTGAAATATGTTAAATCATTTATTGATTTATTAAACAATCAAATGTTTTTTGTTTTCACTTGAGCAATTTTAAAAACTATTTGACAATATTTTTGTTTTATTAGTTTTTGTATAGTTTTGAGAAAATTTGGCAATCTATTGTGCTTTCATCATAAACTTTATTTTAATTAAAACAAACATGATTTGCTTTGATCTGCTTTAAGTACGTTTTTGTGTTCCTTTTTATTCAAATGTAAAATCTGTAATCTGGTCAGCCTCCTTTATTAATTGGATGACATTCTTGGCCAACCCTTCAGAACAGGTGCACACACAATCGGGCTTCATCACATCGAATTTAGTTCCGCTGGTGTGGTACACACTTCCACCAGCTTCTCTGAGGATTAGGGCACCGCCAGCCAGATCCCACGGCTTAAGATTCTCCACATGATAGGCGTCACATCGGCCGGCAGCTATATAGCAGAGCGTGAGAGCTGCAGACCCAAAGCTGCGAGTGCTGATTGCGGGAATACAGTGTAAATTATGGGGAAAAGATCAGAGTTCTCTGGGTCGCTCACCCGGTGGCATTCGAGGCCAGCTTGTAGAGACGCTTCACGTTTTTGTCCCGCCCCTTGGACACCACGATTAGGGAGATTTCATAGCACACCACAGCTTGGTTTATCTGCAATCAAATGTTTGCTTTGGTTTTATTGTTTCCGAAAAATCCCTATTGAGTTTTTAATTACTTCCAGAGCTACCTTGCAAACTGCTATCAGTTCGAGATTTGGAAAAATTTAGTCTATTACTTTAGTTTCGTTTTTAAATTCCTGATCTTATATACGAATTACTTTAACTAGAATATTACAGTGGACGGTAGAAAATTTAGTGACAATGCGCACTGTGAACGTGTGCAAAGGCTTATATAGCCTAAGAATTGAAAATTGGGATGGTCCGATCGGAACGGGTGATATGGTGCATACGAAGAAGAAAGTCAATTGGCTTAAGAAAATTGACGGTGAATGTGTGAAAGTGGAAATGTTGGAGCTGAATGGGCCGGTTTTGCAAAATATTCTAGTGTTTTAACCTGGTTTCATTCTTGTTAAAAAACAAATTTGGGACTCTTTAAAAAAATGAAAATATTTGTTCTTCTTTTATTCCACTGATTACTAATTAATCTGACTAATCAGTTCTAAGAGATTATGATTTATTTCATCATCCCTTCACTTACTTCTTTTATGCTAGCAGTTTCTATGGTCTGACCATTTAGAAAAGCTCCATGACCTTTCCAGGCAGAATACAACTCGTTGGCCGATGGATTGTAGACAATGCCAACCACTAGTTCTTTGTTGATAGTCAAACCCACGGAAATGCAGGAATGGGGAATCTTTCGCACGTAATTATTAGTGCCATCGATGGGATCGATGATCCAAGTGGGGGCATCCGTCAACTCAGGTTGCGTTTTGGCGTCGGCCAAAGCTTCCTCTCCTATAATTTTCGACTCCGGAAAGGCATTGAGCAAACCTTCCGTAAGTGTGGCTTCTATTTGTTGATCGTACACCGTGACCAAGTCATAGAAAGCCGACTTGACTTCATAATCAGTTTTTGGTTTCTGGAAACCCTCCAAAAAGAGGGCACCGGACTTTTTAACCAGTTCCAGGGAGACCTGGTAGTATTCCTGTAGTTTTTCTTCACTGATTTGGTAACTCATGTCTCGATCATCAACTGATTAGAGGGCAAAATACTACTATTATTTTTTTTAGCTTAACAGCTGTGAAATCAGTTGGCAAAGCTTTTGCTGCGAGCTTTTTCCAGATAGAGTTGCCTTCTGAGATATCATTTTTTTCTTTTATGCACTGGAATATATTTATTTAATCTCTTGCGATTACAATCGGTTTACAGCTGATTTAGAAGTGATAAATGTGGATACTGACATAGCATACTGAGTTAGTGAATATCTTCACTTGAAAGTGTACTCGGTAATCTGGTTGGCCTCTTCGATAAGGCTAATCACATTCTTGGCCAATTCCGGCGTGGAGGCACACACGCAATCCGGTTTCATCACATCGAATTTGGTTCCGCTGGTGTGGCAAATAGTGCCGCCGGCTTCAGTCAAGATAATGGCTCCGGCAGCTATGTCCCAGGGTTTCAGATCCTCCACATGGTAGGTGTCGCACTGACCGGTGGCCACATAGCAAAGGGTTAATGCGGCACTTCCAAAACAGCGGGTTCCCGTGGCATTCGAGGCCATCTTGTACAGACGCTTCACATTCTTGTCCCTCACTGCAGCGGCGTGGATCAGGGAGATTTCGTAGGCAATCACTGCTTGGTTGATCTGGAAATGGGAACAAATATGTGGGAGACGTAGTTGTTAAACGAGAGCTCTCTATACACAAAAATATTACTCATTAATGCCATTATTGTGGACACACAAAGAAAAATGTTTGTGATATATTCTTTAAATTATTCTTTGCTTGGATAAATTGATAAAATAAAAAACTTAAAAATTTTTTAATGTTATTACAAAGCGACTATGCTTCTTACTAATAATATTTTGTACATGAACGATAAGTTATTCACATGTAATTTTAAAATTTTCGTTAAATTTTGGCTAAAAGGCTTGGCTGGCATATCTTATTGTCGAGGTCTATAAACTCTTAAAGAAAAGATAAAATAAACAAGATAAAAAAACACAAAGGGCGCGGGTTTTTAAATTAAGATAAACAAATGTTACACCAAATTTACTTTCTTGGCTGATCTGTCAAAATGGTTAAAATTGAAAATGCCTTAAAATAGAAACGTTTATTTGATCTGCACAAGTAGAGTAAATATTTTTTTTCGTTCTCATAAACCTTATTGCAAGCAAAATGACATGCACGGTTATTCGTTAAATTTCGTTTATCTTGTTTGTCGTTTTTTTTTTGTTGCTCCCGAATTATATAAAGCTCTCTCTTACCGTCGTCACTTTGGAAGTGTGGATGGGCTGGCCATTTAGGTATGCTCCATGGCCCTTGTAGGCGGAGAAAAGTTCATTTGCCGGCGGATTGTAGATGATGCCCACGACCAGCTCCTTGTTGATGGCCAGACCCACGGAAATGCAGCAGTGTGGGATGCGGTGGATGAAGTTGGTGGTGCCGTCGATGGGATCTATGATCCAGGTGGGCGCATCCGTCAGCTCGGCCTGGCGCTGCGATATTGCGGACTCCTCCTCACCAATAATTAGGGACTCGGGAAAGGCTGCCACCAATCCCTCGGTCAGAATGTCCTCAATCTGCTTGTCATACACAGTGACCAGATCGTAAAAGTCCGCCTTGACCTTGTAGTCCGTTTTTGGCTTCTGGTAGCCCTCCAGCATCAGAGGTCCGCACTTGAGGACCAGTTTCAGGGCCACATCGTAGTACTCCTTAAGCTTAGACTCGCTGACCGGGGAACTCATCGCAATTTGTGTTGGTTGCCGACTGAGCAACTCGACTATATAGACGCGTATCAGCTGTGGAACTAATGCGACGCGAGAAGAGAGCTTTCCGCGGAAGCTTTTTTGTATGCAATAGAACTTTGGACATATCGGAGAGCGGCGATAGAGTTGATTAAGAACTGCTATTGTTTCGGGTTGGCGGGTGTTCATACAGTGATGGTCAGAGAAATATAAACAAATGTTATATTAAATTATTAATATTCTTATGGAAAGCTTGGATTTGAAAAGATTTTTATTTTCTAAGAGTTTTTTTTAGTTTAAAAGAAAAATTAGTAACTTTAAATATCCATTCAATAAAAAGAAAAATTAACTTCGAGCTAGTCTGATTTTTTATGACCTTGACAGCTTTTGCCTGTGATTCATAACATGTTAGTATGTAGGAAACATGTGCGAGAATCTATAAGCCATTATATTTAAACATCAAGAAGTTTATGAAATTTTTAAAAAGATTTATTAGCTACCAAGTAAAATATAGAAAACGTTGGGAAAAATATATTGAAAAATAAGTTAAAGCCCGAGAACTTCGTGTGTAAATGTCAAACTGATACGGCTAAGCATTTGATTTGCAGAGCTAAGATAGCAACTTTTAAAGCTGTGTTTGCATGATGATTTGTATATTCTTCTTAATCTTTAGTCCACTTTAATGAAATGCTGTTTTATTTTGACCAACAGGTTTTATTATTGTTTACATAAAACTCATTCCCCACCCACATGCTCCTCCTGATCAGCCTTTCGAATCAGTTGCTCTATCTCCGCTCTCAGTGTCTCTGTACCGGCGCAAATTAAATCCGGTTTCATGATTTCGAAGGGTCCACCATACGGGTGAGTCACCACTCCACCAGCCTCACGAATGAGCAGATAGCCCGCTGCACAATCCCAAGGATACATGTCCTCGATGTGGAAGGCATCCAGATTGCCAGCTGCCACCATGCAAAGGGAATCCACCACAGCTGAGTAGGCGAGGAGCCTGAAGAGAATTAGCAAATTAACTAAATTAAAGCATTGATTTGATATTGGTTAACTCACCTTCTGGCATTGGATCCCACATGGTAGATTCTCTTGATATGTTTATTTCGGATCTTTGGAGCGTGCAGCAAACAAACCTCATATGCCACATTGGCATCGTTGATATGTTTACAGCTGCTAACCCGAATCGGTTTCCCATTGCAAAAGGCCCCTTGGCCCAATTTAGCCGTATACAGCTTCTTCTGGGCAGGATTATTAACCACTCCCAGAACAATTTGTTTCTTGATGGACAATCCAATCGAAACGGAAACGTGAGGAATTTGTTTGATAAAATTCGAAGTACCGTCGATGGGATCTATAATCCAAGTTGGAGCATCCGTCAGCTCTTTGGTCACATCGTCATTTTTGTGGGTATCCTCCTCGCCAATGAACTTGTGGTCCGGATAGTTGGCCAGTATCTTCTCCATGAGAAACTCCTCGATCTGGTTGTCATAGGCAGTGACTACGTTGAAAAATTCTCCGTCTTTAAGAGACACCGCCTTGCCGGCATTTTCGTATCCCTCCAGCAGGATTTCTCCAGCTCTAACTGCCAGCGGATAGATGAAGGCGTACAGCTCCTCGATTTGTGAATTGGTGGCTGCCATCTCTGTTCTCCCTTCTTTCTTTTAACTTATCTGTACTATCTCACAATATCTTGCGACTTCGCTTCGAGTGAATCGAGCACTGAGAGCAGTCAACAGTAAAACGAGTTTCCTCAGCCCAGTAACTTGGTTCACTGACTGACATCCGAGTGGAAGCTTTTTTAATTTATTTGCTCTTGAAGTCAGCTGTTGAACAGAATGGAAATCGCAGTACGTTTATCTTAAGATTTAGATAATTTAAATTTAGATTGCTGGAACAATTTAAACCTGGATTCTTCTCTTAAAATACCGAATTCTCATTGAAGTATTAAATCTTTCCGAACTATGTTTTATAAGACTTTCCAAATAAAAATAAGCATCTTTTATTGTATAATTTATGTTGGTCGAAGCAATACAAAAAAAATGGAATTTTAGCAAGATAACAATTCGGTAAGCTCATCATTAGCATTGGTAACTAGAAAAAATTGTTAATCAATTTTTGGGATATGTTGTAATTTTATAAATTATTATAAAAGTGATCTAAGAATAATGGTAAAATAAACTTAAATTAACATCGATCACATCATAATAAATATATGTTCCCTCTTCTTTTCAGGCTCCCACACAACCCTGCATAGTGTCACCTGGTGGTCCACCTGGCGGCCCGCCACCACCGGAGCGCTCCAGTCAGGAGAACCTGCACGCCCTGCAACGCGCCATTGACTCGATGGAGGAGAAGGGCCTGCAGGAAGATCCCCGGTACTCTCAGCTGCTGGCCATGCGGGCCACCTCCAAACATCAGCACCTCAACGGCAACCAGGTTAATCTGTTGCGGACACAGATCACCGCCTACCGGCTGCTGGCGAGGAACAAGCCCATTTCCATGCAGATGCAGCAGGCGCTTCAGGCGGCACAGCAACAGCCACCGCCGGGACCTCCAATAGGGCCACCTGGAGCACCAGGTGGACCGCCTCCTGGAGGCCAACATGTAGGTCAGCCGCCAGTGCAGCCCCAACAGGCACAGCAACCGCCCCCGTCAGCTGGAACGCCGCCTCAGTGCTCCACTCCTCCTGCAAGCAATCCTTATGGGCCGCCGGTTCCTGGTCAAAAAATGCAGGTAGCTCCACCGCCACCTCACATGCAGCAGGGGCAGCCGCTGCCACCACAACCGCCGCAGGTGGGCGGACCACCGCCCATCCAGCAACAACAGCCACCGCAGCAGCAACAGCAACAACAGTCGCAGCCTCCGCCACCAGAGCAACTGCAGCATCAGTTGCCAAACGGAGGCAAACCCCTTAGCATGGGCCCCGCAGGCTGTCAGCCACTGATACCACCATCGCCCATGCAGCCGCAAGTGAGGGGTGCTCTGCCAGGAATGCCGCCTGGCAGTCAGGTTCCACAGCCAGGAGGAGGTCCGCCACGACAAGTGCCACCAGCAGGCATGCCCATGCCCAAACCCAATCGCATCACAACGGTGGCCAAGCCCGTGGGCCTGGATCCCATCACACTTCTGCAGGAAAGGGAGAATCGGATAGCAGCCAGAATTTCGTTGCGCATGCAGGAGTTGCAGCGGTTACCGGCCACCATGTCCGAGGATCTTCGTCTCCAAGCAGCCATCGAGTTGAGGGCCCTAAGGGTCTTGAATTTCCAGCGGCAGCTTCGCATGGAGTTTGTTCAGTGCACGAGGAGGGATACCACTTTGGAAACTGCGCTGAATATCAAGTTTTACAAGAGGACCAAGCGACAGGGTCTGCGGGAGGCGCGTGCCACCGAAAAGCTGGAAAAGCAGCAGAAGCTGGAGGCTGAACGAAAACGCCGGCAAAAGCATTTAGAGTTCCTGGCCGCGGTGCTTCAGCACGGGAAGGATCTGAGGGAGTTCCATAGGAATAATAAGGTAAGTGGGAGAAAAATTAAAAACTAAATATAGTCACCAATTTGGTCCGTTTTAAGTTCATTTTTAAATCTTCCTCAATGTATTTTGCCCCCACCAGGCCCAGCTTGCCAGGATGAACAAGGCAGTGATGAACCACCACGCAAACGCGGAGCGCGAGCAGAAGAAGGAACAGGAGCGCATCGAGAAGGAACGTATGCGACGCCTGATGGCCGAGGATGAGGAGGGCTACCGCAAGCTTATCGATCAGAAGAAGGACAAGCGGTTGGCCTTCCTGCTGTCACAGACAGATGAGTACATCAGCAACCTCACTCAGATGGTGAAGCAGCACAAGGATGACCAGATGAAGAAGAAGGAGGAGGAGGGCAAGCGGCTGCTGCTGTTCAAGAAGGAGCTCCTGATGAGCGGCGAGTACATTGGCATCGATGAGGGCAGCATTGTGGCAGATATGCGGGTACATGTGGTGGAGCAGTGCACGGGCAAGAAGCTCACCGGTGACGATGCTCCTATGCTGAAGCACCTGCACCGCTGGCTGAACATGCACCCCGGCTGGGATTGGATCGACGACGAGGAGGACAGCTGCGGCAGCAACGAAGACCATAAGCCCAAGGTGGAGGAGCAGCCAATGGCCACGGAGGACGTCACAGACAAGTCGGCGCCGACAGGCAGCGATGACGATCCCAAGGATCTGATCACCAAGGCCAAGGTGGAGGACGATGAGTACAGGACGGAGGAGCAGACCTACTACAGCATCGCCCACACCATTCACGAAAAGGTTGTCGAACAGGCCAGCATCATGGTGAATGGTAGCCTCAAAGAGTACCAGATCAAAGGCTTGGAGTGGTTGGTTTCGCTGTACAACAACAATCTGAATGGCATCCTGGCCGATGAAATGGGATTGGGTAAAACCATTCAGACCATTTCGCTGGTCACATACCTCATGGATCGCAAGAAAGTAATGGGTCCCTACTTGATTATTGTCCCACTCTCGACCTTGCCCAATTGGGTGCTGGAATTCGAGAAGTGGGCGCCTGCAGTGGGCGTGGTCAGCTACAAGGGCAGCCCCCAGGGAAGGCGATTGCTGCAAAATCAAATGCGAGCCACCAAGTTTAATGTGCTGTTAACCACCTATGAGTACGTAATCAAGGACAAAGCTGTTCTAGCCAAGATCCAGTGGAAGTACATGATCATTGACGAGGGTCATCGCATGAAGAACCATCACTGCAAACTCACCCAGGTGCTGAACACCCACTACATTGCTCCCTATCGGTTGCTACTTACGGGTACACCTCTGCAAAACAAACTGCCCGAGTTGTGGGCGCTACTTAATTTCCTGCTGCCCTCGATCTTCAAGTCCTGCTCTACATTTGAGCAGTGGTTCAATGCTCCATTTGCCACAACCGGCGAGAAGGTTGAGCTGAACGAGGAGGAGACCATCCTTATCATTCGTCGTCTGCACAAGGTGCTGCGTCCCTTCCTTCTGCGGCGCCTCAAAAAAGAGGTGGAGCACCAGCTGCCCGACAAGGTTGAGTACATCATAAAGTGCGACATGTCCGCTCTGCAGCGGGTTCTCTACAAGCACATGCAGAGCAAGGGCGTCCTGCTCACCGACGGATCCGAAAAGGGCAAGCACGGAAAAGGCGGCGCTAAGGCTCTGATGAACACAATCGTCCAGCTGCGCAAGCTGTGCAACCATCCGTTCATGTTCCAGCACATCGAGGAGAAGTACTGCGACCACACTGGAGGCCATGGAGTGGTGTCCGGTAAGTTTCCTTGGTTTATTTATCATTTATTAATTTTATCGTACATTTATTCATACTTAACCAGTGACATCAGATTTAATTCCAAGAGATTATATATATTAAAATGGTGCATCAGTCAATTTTTATACCCTTGCAGAGGGTATTATAATTTTGGTCAAAAGTGTGCAACGCAGTGAAGGAGACATCTCCGACCCTATAAAGTATATATATTCTTGATCAGGATCACCTCCTGAGTTGATATAGCCATGTCCGTCTGTCCGTCTGTCCGTCTGTCTGTTTCTACGCAAACTAGTCTCTCAGTTTTAAAGCTATCGGATTGAAACTTTGCACACACCCTTCTTTCCTTTGCACGCAGTATATAAGTCGGAACGGCCGGGATCGGCCGACTATATCCTATAGCTGCCATATAACTGATTGATCGGAAATGCCATAACTTTCGTGTTTGTAAAGTTAGGAAGTTGGGATTTTCTATGGGTTTTATATTTGGCCAATCAATCCAACCTACCAAATTTCATAAGGATCGGCCGACTATATCCTATAGCTGCCATATAACTGATTGATCGGAAATGCCATAACTTTGGTGTTTGTAAAGTTAGAAAGTTGGGATTTTCTATGGGTTTTATATTTGGCCAATCAATCCGACCCACCAAATTTCATAAGGATCGGCCGACTATATCCTATAGCTGCCATATAACTGAATGATCGGAAATGCCATAACTTTGGTGTTTGTTAAGTTATGAAGTTGGGATTTTCTATGGATTTTATTTTTGGCCAATCAATCCGACCTACCAAATTTCATAAGGATCGGCCGACTATATCCTATAGCTGCCATATAACTGAACGATTGGAAATGCCATAACTTTGTTGTTGTTAAAGTTAGGAAGTTCGGATTTTTTATGAGTATTAAGAATGCATCATATGAATAATTTTGGAGAATATAATTTACAGAGTATTCTGCAAGGGTATATCAACTTCGGCTCCGCCCGAAGTTAGCTTTCCTTTCTTGTTATAATTTTATTTTTATATTTTAGGGCCCGATCTGTATCGCGTGTCTGGTAAATTTGAACTGCTCGATCGTATCCTGCCCAAGCTGAAGGCCACCAATCATCGCGTACTTCTCTTCTGTCAGATGACCCAGTGCATGACCATCATCGAAGACTACCTGGGATGGCGCCAGTTCGGCTACCTTCGACTGGACGGCACCACCAAGGCCGAGGACCGTGGCGAACTGCTGCGCAAGTTCAATGCCAAGGGCTCCGACGTGTTTGTCTTTCTGCTATCTACCCGAGCGGGCGGTTTGGGTCTCAATTTGCAGACCGCCGATACTGTGGTGATCTTCGACTCCGATTGGAACCCTCACCAGGATCTGCAGGCCCAGGATCGTGCCCATCGTATCGGTCAGCGAAACGAGGTGCGTGTTCTCCGACTGATGACTGTAAACTCTGTGGAGGAGCGCATCCTGGCTGCCGCCAGATACAAGCTGAACATGGACGAGAAGGTCATCCAGGCCGGTATGTTCGATCAGAAGTCGACGGGCAGCGAGCGGCAGCAGTTCCTTCAGACGATCCTGCATCAGGACGACAATGAAGAGGAGGAGGAAAATGAGGTGCCTGATGACGAAATGATCAACATGATGATTGCTCGCAGCGAGGAAGAGATCGAGATCTTCAAGCGCATGGATGTGGAGCGCAAGAAGGAGGATGAGGAGATCCATCCGGGCAGGGATCGTCTCATCGATGAGTCGGAGTTACCCGACTGGTTGACCAAGGACGACGACGAGGTAGAGCGTTTCCATTATCAGTACGATGAGGATACCATTTTGGGTGAGTCTTAGGCTTATAGTTTATTTTAATTTTTCTCTAATGTTTGGAATATTTGATTATAGGTCGAGGGTCCCGGCAGCGAAAGGAAGTGGACTATACGGACAGCTTGACCGAGAAGGAGTGGCTGAAAGCCATCGATGATGGCGCTGAATTCGATGAGGAAGAGGAGGAAGACGACTCCAAGCGTAAGCGACGCAAGCGCAAGAATCGAAAGGAAGAGTCCGACGACGATTCGATGATCTTAAAGCGGCGGAGACGCCAGAATCTGGACAAGCGCTCAAAGAAGCAGATGAACAAGATTATGAGCGCGGTGATTAAGTACAACCAAGATGGACGAACCCTGTCCGAGCCGTTCATGAAGCTGCCGTCGCGCCAGCGCCTTCCCGACTACTACGAAATCATCAAGCGGCCGGTGGACATTAAGAAAATCCTACAGCGCATTGAGGACTGCAAGTACGCAGATCTTAACGAGCTGGAGAAGGACTTTATGCAGTTATGCCAGAATGCACAGATCTACAACGAAGAGGCATCGCTGATTTACCTAGATTCGATTGCCTTGCAAAAGATATTCGTTGGGGCCCGACAGAGGGTAACTGCTGCAGCGGATGCAGCCGCAGTGGCAGCCGGGGAAAACACCGGCGAAGCGCACGGAAATGGATCCGACAACTCGGACAACGACGACGACGATGGCGGGGATGATGGCTCCGACGATGAGGAGATAGCCAGCACATCCGCGGCTGCTGTCAAAATGAAGCTCAAACTCAACAAATCTCTGGCCAGTGCCCCCTCCACGCCCACGCAATCATCGTCAAATGTGGGCAGCGGAGCGGCCACCACATCCAAGAAGCAGACTCGTCGCAAGCGGTCCCAAAAGAAATACACCATTTCGGACGACGACGACGATGATATGGACTAGCTACCGTTGGGTTTGATCTTCAAGCGCGGATCGTCGGATGTCGAAGGCATGGGCAATTGATTTTTAGTTAGTTTAAGTTTAACCAATTTCGAGGAAAAGCTTACCTCCTCTGGCCTCCCTATCAGGCTATCACTTCTATCTATCCATCTTTCCTAGTTGTAGGTTCCCGTTTAAGTTTCCTTTCCAATGATTTACGCACACACAAATTATTTCCCCAACTCTATTGATTGTATAATTACGTGCTTTAAAATAAATGCATACTAAACATTAAATAATGAAATCTCTTATAGTAAAATCCGAATGTAGTCTGAGATACGTTAAAAGCCGAAGTCAACCGGAGTAATGAAATTACATGTATAGGAACCAAAAAGATTTAAAGATTCGCTTAAACGCTGGTATTTGGCGGAATTTTAAGAGCTGGTCTGGCTGTTTGGTGGACAATGTTTGGACGGATCGGAGCAGCAGTGTATCGGGCATAGACGTGGAATTGGTTAACCTTATCACAGTCCTGACGGCGGTAGAGCAGACCATGGGATATATGTTTACGTTTGGATCCACGGGTATATTGGTGAAGGCCACTCCTAATCTTTTTCGGTTCAAATAGAACTCCAAGTGCCCGCGAGAGCGATCCAAGTATACACCAATCAGGCAGCCCTGGGAGAACTTTTTGCTATACGACCACTGTTCCGCGCCGTGTTGAATCTTTCCATAGTACGAGAAACCCCAGGACTGGTCATCAGTACCCAGAGCCGAAACAAATTCGATTTCATGTTGACCGAGATTAACGCTTTGCGTTCCGATGCCAAACATCTAGAAAGAGAAATGATAAGCAGATGGTAGATCAAGCATATTTGCAATAATGCTGATTGAACTATACTTTTTCGTCTTATCAGTTAAAATAAGTCGATTTCAAGAGCCGTGATAACCTGACTTACCACATCAGTCCCGACTAGCGGAGAGATAGCGAGCATCTCCCAAAAGTGCACCATGCCGGGTTCCAGAGACCGGTTACCCCTCACAATGGCAGTGCCCCGACTGCTAGTGGGATGGAAGACGATGTCTTTACCGGTGATCAAAGCATCCGACCCATCGGTGCTGTTCCATTGCCAGGGATCGACATTATCGACCCCATTCTCGCCGCATCGACACCTGACCAAGTCGGGTAAGCGGCTCCTTTGAGCATTTAGCTCGATGCAGTTAGGGAACCGACAGTCGCAGAATCTGGCAGTCATACCAGTGCAACAACTTTAAATATAGTTTTGGAAACACTTCCGACCAAAGCAGAATTCGGTTTGTTACTGAGGCGTCTTTAATATTTCGTAAATTATGTCACAGCCGAAAGCGCGATATTCGGATCGCAATCGGCAAGCTACTGCACTTCTATGTGAATGTGAGGAGAAGAGCGTGAGTGTTGAGAGGCACCTTTTTTTTCTCTTTTTGGTCATTGAATTATGATGATTTCCCTAAGGAAATCCAAACAAATATTCTTAATCACAGCCGAAAGCGCGATACTCGGATCGCAATCGGCAAGCTACTGCATTTCTATGTGAATGTGAGGAGAAGAGCGTGAGTGTTGAGAGGCCCCTTTTTTTTTTTTGAATTATGATTTTTTTCCTATGGAAATCCAAACAAATATTTTTAAAGGACCAAACAATGTGATATCTTATAAGTCGGGAAGGGCTTAAAAATCAATAAAAAAAGCTGTTAGATTTTTTAGAAATAATTCTCGTTACTTTTATACATTTTTGTGAGTTTCGATTCTAATTCGATTTCACTACATAATTCTTTACTAAAATTCGATAAAAACTATTGAAAATTAAACTTATTGAACTGATGTGGACATTATCTGATCAAATTTCATTTGTTAAAGAGGCTAAACATAACGTACAATGAACCTTGATTTTATAATTATACTTATTACATTTATAATAACTATCCTTCAAATAAATGCATATTAAAATATTTTGGTTTGCTTTCTAAGTTCTACAGCAGGTAGTGGAAGTACTCGTCGCACATCTCGTGGACTGATGCGATACGCTCCTCGTCGCCGCTTTCACTGCGGCGCAACGTGATCTTGTGGGCATTGGCGTACAAATCGTCCTCATCCGCGCCTGCATCATCCGTTTCTATTATTGACAGATTGGTAAAAAATGATGGTGACTCAGTGATGAGAAAGTGATCTCACCTCGATACTTTTGCTTGCGACCCAACCGCAGCTTGGAGCTGGAGAGCACCGCTTCGTCGCCCAGATCCAATTCATCTTCGCGGGAGTTCCGCGAGTAACGAACTGGCGGCGCCAGAAACCAGAAGGCTTGCAGAATGCCCTTGAAGCCCGGCATCTGACGCAGTTCGGCGAGCTTTAGCGGCTGCCGGGACAAAGCTTGGAAGGATCGCAACTGCAGGGTCATCGGTTGGGACGTGCAATTAATCAACCTTATCACAGACTTTGCAGCCGTGGAACAGACCATGGGATATATGTTGATATCCGGGTCCGTGGGCACATTGGTGTAGGCCACTCCCAGCGACCTGCGGTTCAGATAAAACTCCAGGTGTCCCCGCGTCCGATCCAAACAGATTCCAATCAGGCAGCCCTGCGAGAACTTCTGGCCGTAGGGCAGCTGCTCGCCGCAATGCTGGATCCGGCCGGAATACGAAAAGCCCCAGGACTGGGCATTGGTGCCCAGAGCCGAAACAAAGTGGAACTTGAACTGCCCTAGATTAACGCTCTCCGTCCCGATCCCGAACATCTAGGAGAAAAAAGGGAAGGCGATTATAAAGAACACATTGTTTACATTGAACTTTTGCTGGCTTATCATCTAGTTGGACTGTCTGCTGAGATTTCCTCGTCCCGCTGCGTCTGTTATCTTATCGCCGTGTTGTAATCTGTAATCTGTAGTACAATGAAGCTAACAATTAAGTTGTTTCCAATGGAATCGAGCACACCAGATGCCTCCGCAGGCAGTGTTCTATTTTCAGACGGCGACTTTGACTGACATTCATCTCACAGAGCATCCCAACTAGTTGCCAAGCCGGGCTGATAACTCACCACATCTGTGCCGGCCAGCGTCGTGATGACACGCATCTCCCAGAAGTGGACCAAGCCAGGTTTTAGTGCCCGTTCTCCCCTCACAATCGCTGTGCCTTGACTGTAGGTGGGATGGAAGATGATGTCCCTGTCCGTCACAATGGCATCCGATTCTTCTGTGGCGTGCCATTTCCAGGAACTCACATTTCCGGGCTCATCCTCGCCACAACGGCACCTGACCAGGTCGGGAATGTGACCTTTGTGGTTGGTGACCTCGATAGAGTTGGGGAAGGGACAGTCGCAGAAGCCGGGATTGCAGGCTTCCTGGTGCGGGGGCAGCAACATGTTGGCACTGGTTTCTCAGTGGGTTCCCTCAGGTTCTCCGGTTTCCTCGATGCTGATGACTTGTGACAGCCGTGTGCAATGATCTCGAACAGTCGACGGACCACAAATGTTTCCAGTTAAACCAGCTGCAGCCTCATATATAAGCTCATGACCGCCGGGATTCGATCTGACTGAACAATAAACAAAAACGATGCGTTGTAAATAGACGCCAGCGTCGCTGCCGGCGTCGCAATTAGTGTGCCCATAGTGAATCATTCTGTGTGGGAATCTATTTTAAAAATACTATTACTATTTTTAAGGATTTGCAATTAGTTTTGTTTTATTTTAATTAATTTACATATTTTAGAAATATGTTTTTTAATACAAAAATGTATTAGCATTTGCAGAAAAATATCATAAGCTTAAAAATTTAGTTCAATAAATTTTACGAATTTTGAGTAAAGCTTAAAACCGTAAGTTAAAAATAATTAAAAAGTTAAGTTAAAAAATAAACATAAAATTTTATAAAATGTTAAATTTGTTTTGATGATAATGGGTCTTTACCCTTTAAAATAATAATTAAGCTTAGCATAAAGTGTCCAATGGGAATTTTATAATAATATACAAATTTAAAATTAAAAAAGAAAAATTTTCAGAAAATTTAATTTAAAAGCAAATAATTAAACGAGTTCAACAATAAATATACAAATATACCAAATATAAAATGCCATTAGCTTTTGTGTGAATGCCACTTCAGGATGAGCGATTAGAATGCAACTCTGTGTGGTGGCCAAACCACAAGCAGCGGCTTTTCACTACGATTTAATTGGAAAATCTATAAAAATAAGTTAATTTAAGTACCAAATAACTTTGCAAACAACACAGAAGTCATGGCGGATGCCGCAGCACGTCAGCTGCAGTACGAGTACAAGGCGGTAAGTGCGGAATTGCGGACGGAAAAAACTTTCCCCATCTCCATGCGGCGTCGTCTGCAAAGATTTTTACAAACGTATGAATTTTGTTTGAAATTGTTTTAGAACTCCAATCTTGTGCTGCAAGCCGATGTACGACTAATCGAACGACCACGACGCGATGAGGCCACCGGCGAGGTGTGTTCCCTAGTGGGAAAACTGGACGGGACTCGGATGGGCGATCGCTACCAGCGGACAAAGCCGGAGAAAACGGAGGAGCGCAAGGTGAAGCGTCAGAAGCGAGATGAGGCTCAGTACGATTTTGAGCGAATGAAGGGCGCCACCTTGCTCTCCGAGGGCATCGACGAGATGGTGGGCATTGTCTACCGGCCCAAGACGCAGGAAACCCGCCAGACGTACGAGGTCCTGCTCAGTTTCATCCAGGAGGCTCTGGGGGATCAGCCCAGGGACATCCTCTGCGGTGCCGCCGACGAGATTTTGGCTGTGCTAAAGAACGATCGGCTCAAGGACCGTGAAAGGAAAAGGGATGTAGACAGTTTGCTGGGCGCAGTCACCGATGAACGCTTTGCCCTGCTGGTTAACCTGGGTAAGAAAATCACAGACTTTGGCAGCGATGCCGTGAATGCATTGACTGCTGCCCCTAATAACGAGGAACAGATCGATGAAACCTACGGCATCAATGTGCAGTTTGAGGAATCCGAGGAGGAGAGCGATAACGACATGTATGGCGAGATTCGTGATGACGATGCCCAGGATGAGGGTGAAGAGGCGCGCATTGATCACACCCTGCATGCGGAGAACGTGAGTAGTGTAGCTAATCTTAGTATTCGTCTTATTAATTTATTATTCCATCCCCAGCTGGCCAACGAGGAGGCAGCCAATAATGTAAAAAAGGAGCGCTCATTGCATCCTTTGGATATAGATGCGTATTGGTTGCAGCGTTGTCTAAGCAAATTCTACAAGGATGCCATGGTGTCGCAGAGCAAGGCCGCCGATGTGCTCAAGATTCTTAAAGATGCTGCCGACGATCGCGATTGCGAAAACCAATTGGTGCTCCTACTGGGCTATGATTGCTTTGATTTTATTAAGCAGCTTAAGCTCAACCGCCAGATGGTCTTGTACTGCACCATGCTGGCTTCGGCTCAAACGGACAGTGAGCGACAAAGAATTCGTGAAAAGATGCGAGGAAATTCCGCGCTGGCCAAGATCCTTCGACAATTGGACACGGGAAAGTCGGAGGATCAGGATGAGGGCGAAGCTCGGGGCAGCAAGCGTGGCAAGGGCGATGCCGAGGATGGAGGAGCGGCGGCTGCTGGTCAGGTGGCCGGTGTGCGGCAGCTGCTCGAGTTGGACGAAATGGCTTTCACTCAGGGATCTCATTTTATGGCTAACAAGCGCTGTCAGCTGCCCGATGGATCCTACAGAAAACAGCGCAAGGGCTACGAAGAGGTTCACGTGCCTGCCCTGAAACCAGTACCCTTTGATGCCAACGAGGAACTGCAGCCGGTGGACAAGCTGCCGAAATACGTGCAACCTGTGTTCGAGGGTTTCAAGACACTTAATCGCATTCAAAGTCGTTTGTATAAAGCCGCGCTGGACAGTGATGAGAATATGCTACTGTGTGCCCCCACTGGAGCAGGTAAGACCAATGTGGCTCTGCTTACCATGATGCGGGAGATTGGCAAGCACATAAACGAAGACGGGACCATCAATGCCCAGGATTTCAAGATTATCTATGTGGCTCCCATGAAATCTTTGGTGCAGGAAATGGTGGGTAACTTTGGACGACGTCTCGCCTGTTATAATCTCACGGTGTCCGAGTTGACTGGAGATCACCAGCTGACCAGAGAACAGATTGCTGCAACACAAGTAATTGTGTGCACACCGGAAAAGTGGGATATCATTACTCGCAAGGGAGGAGAGCGTACTTTTGTAAGCCTGGTGCGATTGGTTATAATCGATGAGATCCATCTGCTTCATGACGAGCGTGGTCCGGTGCTGGAGGCCCTGGTAGCTCGTACGATTAGGAACA